TTGTCTTCCCTCCTAACATTTTTTTTTCACACTTAGTACCTCCTCCATGTTTTAGCGGCTTTATTGCCTTGCTTCAGGTGAAATGATTAAAAAATAAATAAAAAACACTTAAAATTTTCCTGATGCTTCAGAGGAAAAATCAAGACAAATTTGGTCCAATTGAAGAAAAAAAAATACTTGCTTTGGAATTAACATCACCAACAATTCCTTAAATAAACAAAAAAAAAGGGGGGGGGAATAAAGAAAAAAAATTTTTTTCTAATGAAAAATATACAAGCCTGATAAAAGTTGATTAAATTTAATCAAAGTATGAAGTTTGTGACACATTTGAAACAATTCTCATGACGGCACAAACAAAATTGTATCCCTCTACTCATTTTATTAAAGAGAAAAGAAAATTTCTCAAACAAAATATTACAATGTGACTTTTATATGACATTATTAACAAAAAAAACTTTGAACAAAAAATTAGACAAGTAAAAACAGTTTCATTTCTTTCTCATGTTTGAACAAAAGCAACATTATATATATTAGATAAGTAAAAGTAAATATCTAGAGAAAGTTAATTAAGAAAGATTATTAGGTTTCTAGCTTCTGTGGACAAATGGATCGAATTTCCAAAACTTTTCTGGGATGGATAATTGACTTGTTTTCTGACACGGTTTTGACAACTACAAAAAATTGAAAACAAAGCATAATAATTTTATTTTCAGTTTGCCTTTTCGTTATTATGTTCCCCACTTTGCATAAAAGCAAATATCAAAAATTAAAAAATTTATATTTGCAGCAACATTTTTCGTTTTTTTTTTTTTTTTTAACACTTTGAGAAAATAAGTTTTAGAGTTTGAACTGGATCAAAAGTTAATGAGAAAAAAACAAAAAATACCAATCTTTAAGGAACTCAAAACCATTTTTCATCTGTCTACATAAAATGTCGCACAAGATAAAAACCTTTTAGAATTTTGTGTTTTATTTGAGATCAAAGAAATATTGAGTTGGCAGATTCTCTAGAGAGTGACCTCAGCTGCACTCATTTAACTTTTATTTGTACTTGCAAATTTTATAACAAATACAGCAGAAGGTTGGCTAGAAAATAAGAAAGCCGTTAAAGTCAATAGTCACATTTTAGGCTTGAAAGCATGAAAATGTGGCTCAGAGACATCAAGGTAAAAAACAGACTTAAAAATTTAACTAAATTAAAATTTAGCACTCTGCAACATTTATAAATATTACTTTCCCTTTTACTGTATATGGAATCCCCTCAAAATATAGCATTTTATATATCAGTTCTATATATTTGAAATAGCAGTAGCCTGTCTCTCGATTTCAGTTAAGATTGTTTTAAGTGTTGCCATAGAAGGATATAACCACACAACCAAGAAATTCAAATTCAACTTGCATTGGCAAGACTAACATTTTGCTTGGTGAAAATAGTCACCTACAGAGTGATAAAGATTAAGCAATTATCAAAAAGGAAAGAAAACTGAAATGCAATCAAGACAATTTCATAAAAACATTTAGTAGCAAACAGGATGTCCTTCCCTTTTTAAAGAAAATAATAACCATCACTTTGTCAGCCCCCTCCTTTCATAAGGGTATTTCTTTATCTACTTCTGCATGCTACATCAAATAGAATGGTTATACAATAGGAAGACTTTTCAACATAGTGATTATAAATTGAATGTCATCAAAATGATGAAAACAAGTGTTAGTTATATTCAGTCATGAACATTTCACATGAAAAACAACTTTAAAACTTTACATGTAAGAAGTTTACAATTTACATCATTAAAACAATTTTTTCATATGACCAGAATTCCATTAAAAAAACAAAAAAATAAAATAAGAGTCTGCAATTATACCTGAACTTAATGAACTCTGAAGAAATTATGTCATTAAATGAAAAAAAAATCCATTAGTTTTACCCATGAACTTCCAGAGATGGATTTTCAAAATTACATCAAGTTTCCAGTTTTTCACCAAGAAAAAAAAAAAACATTTGTTTTTTTGTTTTTAATAAAATCACTTATTTTGGATACATATTTTTCTTACTAATGTTTTTAAGCTAATGAAAGAAAATAAGTTTATTAATTTAAAATTCAGCTGTATCTAAATATCTCATAAAAACAATATCAACATTATTTAGTCAGACTAATATCCTCATCTTATTATCCCAACCTTTCAGCAGTTGTGACCTCTGACATATTCTGCAAAACCAAGTAACCATCAAAAAGATTTTAACAGAACCCTTTATTTAATCTAAGAAGATAGCCTGTCCTCATTTTTGCTGTCCATGTCTAAGGAATATCTTGTATTTTGTTCTTATCTAGTACTGCTCACTTATTACTAATGCCGTTTCCACTGAGACTGTATTTGGTGGCTTACTAATTGTGAGTTCAATCCCTGGGCCAAGTAATACAGACTCAGACTGAGTGGAAACAGAATGACCAACAACTGAGTAGTACTTAAAAAAAAAAAAAAAAAAAAAAAGAAAAAGTCAAAAGAAATCCCTAGACATGGACAGCAGAAAAAGAACGATATATCCTCAGACATTAAACAAGAGGTTCTGTTCAAAATTCCCTGAAGGTTACCCACATCAACAGACACATGAAGACACAATGATCAAAATGTTGTTACAATAATAAAAAAAAAAAATAAAAAAAAAAATAGGGGTTTTAGTCTGAATGTAAAATATATAATTTAATGATAACTCTGATAGAAAATAAATCTTAATAGTAAAAAAAAAAAAAAATTATATTTGAAAATTCCTTTTATTTTTACTGTCATATGCTTTTATTTCAATTTATTAAAGATCAAAATGCAGATAAGCATAAATAAAACTGCTATGATTGAGAAATTACTGATAAGAAAAATATTTATTTTTTTACATTATAAATGAATAAGAACATGTCACACCTCAAAGAAAACTTAAGACAAATTATTTTTTTTTATTTGATGAAAAGGTAGGAAACCGGATTAAAAAAATATGATATTTATAGAAGTACATGAGTGAATAAAAGGTTAGAAATCAACAGATTTAATTCAGTTTAGTTAGCTACTGAATTTTTTGCTTTTAGCTGTTCGTTGGGAACACAATGAATTGCTGTAGTAATATATTTTATCAGAGCATATGTTTTGAAAAGTAACTTCCAATATGCAAAAATCTAAAACCAATTTTAAATATTTCTTAGATAAATGTTGCAGAAACTTAAAAATGGTTTATTTATATTGTCTTAATAAGACGTGAAAAGAGGGTAAACTTTGAAGTGATTCTGAAAAAACTAACAAAGCTCAAATATTATTAGCAGACTGCCGGTTTTTGTGCATGCGCGCGTGTGTTTATGTGGTTAAGGTCATCCAGCAACATCCAGTTATGCTGCCATATAAGGCCACTTGCCAATAGAATGCTGTACCAACTTCAGTCATGAGGCTGAACACAAGCAACGAACAGCAGAGAAGGAAAGACGGCAACGTATGACGAACATTCAACCGGGAGATGACTGACTGACCAGGAAAACGCAAATTCCAACCTTTGTTGTTTGTACCATAAAAACTGGACAGTAAACTGAAAAAAGAAAAAGAAATAAATATATATAATACCAAATTGTAATTGGTAGGAATTATTCCAAAGAGAACTTTTCAGTTCATATAAGTGGTCGATGTATGATACAAAGCAAATTATAAGAATAATTACAAAAAAAAGTTAAAAATCCATACTCGGTAATAAATTTATTTCAATGAATATACCATATTTTTCAGCTTGGAAGACACACCATAATATTGGAAAGAAATTTCTAAGAAATTCTCATAAAACAACACATTTACCATACATCCCTCACATACTGGCACCACGTATTGTTTACATTAATCACTCGTCTGATTTTATTTGTATGACAATGACATACTAGTCAAGAGCAGAAAGGCTCCAACCACTGTTAGTAAACAGAGTATGTTTAAGCTTGTGGCTCAGCTCCAGGAAGGTTTATAGTCTTGGAAATACTTGTAACAGCTAAGTACTGAGGTTACAACATATAAAAGACTGAATTAGATAGATAGCTAACATTATAGTGTAGTGACTCAACATATAAATCCACGTCCCTATCAATCAAGCCAATTAGGTGACTGTCTAAGCTTACTTGAGCCTGGGTGTTGCCTTGCATTCATCTTGGAAGATGTACACATATTTTTCAGGGTACTTTTAGGAGAAAAAGTGCATCTTGTAAGCCATAAAAATACAGTAAGCATATTCATCTTATCAGACCAACTACATTTTATGAAATGGAATCAAGATCCCAGACAGACAGATATACAAAGATAAAAAAAATTATAAAAAATAAAATTAAAAAATACAAGATAACACAATAGCAAAAATTAACTTGACCAAGAAAATTTTGTTTTATTTGGGAAGGAGCGTACATTATGAAGGGAGAGAACAAAAATAAAGAGTTAACATAAAGGTTAAGGGAAGGTAAGGAGATAGAAAAGTTAAATTTTATATATATATATATATATATATATATATACACACACACACACAGAAAAATTTCCTTGGCCTTAAATGCTTAGTAATTTGCTTAGATTTTGGGAATTTGGGGATTCTGAAAAAAACTAACAAAGCTCAAATATTATTAGCAGACTGCCTGTTTTTGTGCATGCGCGCATGTGTTTATGCGGTTAAGGTCATCCAGCAACATCCAGTTATGCTGCCATGCCAAACTAATTATTAAATTTAATGAATATCAGGTACGAAGAATGACACTGATTATCAATGCAGATTGTGATTTTATTTTCTGTTTGGCATTGTAGTCCTGGAATCTTCTGGAATAATATTTTATTATATTTTCTAAACAAGGTCTTCAGATCAAAAATGGAAAAAAAAAAAATCTTGTACATCAGTCACGTGTGAATTGTTTAGCGGTAACTTCGAGGAGGGAAATTGAAATGAAGAAAAGAATTTACTTTTTCTTTGGTTTGCTAAACTTTAATAAAGAATTTGCATTTTAAAGAAAGAGAAAAAAAGAAAGAAAGAGAAAAAAAGAAAGAAAGAGAAAAAAAGAAAGAAAGAGAAAAAAAGAAAGAAAGAGAAAAAAAGAAAGAAAGAGAAAAAAAAAAAGAAAGAGAAAAAAAAAGAAAGAGAAAAAAAAAAGAAAGAGAAAAAAAAAGAAAGAGAAAAAAAAAAGAAAGAGAAAAAAAAAGAAAGAGAAAAAAAAAGAAAGAGAAAAAAAAAAGAAAAGAGAAAAAGAAAGAAAAAAAAGAAAGAAAGAAAAAAGAAAAAAGAGAAAAAAAAAAAAAAGAAAAAAAAAGAGAGAGAAAAAAAAAAGAGAAGAAAAAAAGAAAGAGAAAAAAAAGAAAGAAAAAAAAAAAAAGAGAAGAAAAAAGAAAGAGAAAAAAAAAGAAAGAAAGAAAAAAGAAAGAAAAAAAAGAAAGAGAGAGAAAAAAGAAAGAGAGAGAAAAAAAAAGAAGAGAAAAAAGAAAGAAAAAAAAAAGAAAGAAAAAAAAAGAAAGAGAGAAAAAAAAGAAAGAAGAAAAAAGAAAGAAAAAAAAAAAAGAGAAAAAAAAAAAGAGAAAAAAAGAGAGAAAAAAAAAGAAAAAAAGAAAGAAAAAAAGAGAAAAAAGAGAGAAAAAAAGAAAAAAAAAAGAGAAAAAAAAGAGAGAGAAAAAGAGAAAAAAAAAGAGAAAAAAAAGAAAAAAGAAAAAAAAAGAAAAAAAAGAAAGAAAAAAAGAAAGAAAAAAAAAAGAAAAAAAAAAAAAAAAAGAAAAAAAAGAAAGAAAAAAAAGAAAGAAAAAAAAGAAAAAAAAAAAAAAAAGAAAAAAAAAAAAGAAAAAAGAAACAAAAAAGAAAGGAAAAAGAAAGAAAAAGGAAAAAGAAAAAAAGGAAAATAAGAAAAAAAGGAAAATAAGAAAAAAAGGAAAATAAGAAAAAAAGGAAAATAAGAAAAAAAGGAAAATAAGAAAAAAAGGAAAATAAGAAAAAAAGGAAAATAAGAAAAAAAGGAAAATAAGAAAAAGGAAAATAAGAAAAAAAAGGAAAATAAGAAAAAAAAGGAAAATAAGAAAAAAGGAAAAAGAAAAAAGGAAAATAAGAAAAAAAGGAAAATAAGAAAAAAAGGAAAATAAGAAAAGAAGAAAAAAAGAAAAGAAGAAAAAAAGAAAAGAAGAAAAAAAGAAAAGAAGAAAAAAAGAAAAGAAGAGTTGTGACTTGCTTCATGGTTGAAATGATTATTTCCCCCCATTAGCAACAGAGAGCAGTGTTCAAGTCCAGGATAAAAATCCTCTGAATACTGATTTTTCTAGACAGGCTTTCCCAGTTTGGAGAATTGGTACAACACAATCTTATTTGATTTGTCTCATTTGGTTCCATGCCAAATTATGAAATTTAATAAATATCAAGTATGATGCAATTTTAAATTATTTTTTTTAAATTAAAAAAAAAAACGTGGCCTGCTTCATGGCTGAAGTGATTGTTTCTCATTAGAAACATACACCAGTGTTCAGACCCAGGTCAAAAGAAAAAAAAAAAAAAAAAAACAATTTAATGATGATTTCCAAAACAGACAGGACTTCCTTGGTTGAAAAATTAGTGCAAGATAATCTTTCTACGGCTGACTTCCTGTCAAGCTAAAAGTAAATAAACATTATATCAGTCTTCAAACAGAGAAAGCAAGCAATCTGTAAAGCCTGAATTACCTTTTTTTTTGTTTTTAAGAAATAGTCTTTTATAAAAATCAAGCCATAAAAGTCCAATGCCTTTCATTTATTGTGTCAAATATGCATTAAACATTAAAGAAAGGAATTTTCTCTTACAGGTCTTTCTCTTTAAATCTTTCATTCATCCAAACTTTCAAAGAATCTTCCGTTCTTGGCACCTCATGGACTTCAATCCTTTTAATATAAATATGCAACTCAGGATTTGTGGTGGATAAAAAACCTGGAGAGAAAAAAAAATGGTTTAACATACAGGCATTCAATAATTACTTTAAAAATTGTACAAAATTTATACATGTAAAAAATAAATATATACAGAATTTCGGTGAAAAGTGTACTTTCCTCTTTGGCTTGGTTTTGGTTTGTTTTACAGCATATCAACCTCAATGAGTTATTTAATGGCAACAAGATTTTTATTACTGGTAATATTTTTTTCAAAAAATGTATTGCTGGTAATATTTTTTTTTTCACAAATGGATTATTATAATAATTTTTTTAAAAAATCCATTGCTGGCATTAAAACCTATTTTTACGCTTTCATAGTGTCATGACCTCAGTTTGGAGGTTAACTGTTTGAACATACCTGAGACTCTTACAGGTGCTACCACCCCAGGTCAGTGTGGACCTGGGAACGCCAGCAATTAAGAGGTGGTCTGAAAACCTCCTAATCAGAGGCCTTGTTGTTGGATGTAGTTTATCGTCTTACCCAGGACAGCTTTCTTTGACTTGTTAATAATTCCTGTCTTGTCAATGTTTCTGCAACATGTCTCCTACTCAATACAGTAATAATCGTCTCCCTGTTACCTAACTATACCCGTTTTATGTCCTTATTGACAGCCAAAATTTACATATGTGAAAAAACATTCTCACAAGATAGTATCCAATTCCGGGATTTATCCATTTCAAATGTAACCCACAAAGCCTCTATTTTTCCCTTTTTTTTGGGACAGTTTACACACGAGGTACGTTCAAATCTGTGTTCAACCCTAGAGGTAAGTCATTTTCTTCTAGCATTACAAAAAAATGGATGTAACCCTGGGCATCTTTGCTTTTTGCGGTAGTTCACTACAGGAATGTAAAAAAGTAAATAAATAAATCAGTGTGTACTTAAAGGCTCCATTTTTATCCAAAATAAACAAGTTCAGCAAGAATGGCTTATTACTGGATAAAAAGTAAGTTTGAATTTTGTCTTTCCTAAATTTAAGATTTAAATCATACACCCTCTCACCACAAAGTATCTTTTAATCCATTCTACAGATAAAAGTCCAACTTTTCTAATCCAACCAATATTTGATGAAAACTTTATCTTTGTCTTCTTATTAATCCATAGCAAATATAGAATAAATGATCAGATTTATACTTTAATCACTTGTATAAACATCTCTAATTTAATGTTAATCTGATAACCTTCATTAACCAGAAGTTGTAATCCCTGTATTTTCACAGAGTTTCTGGTAACATTAACAGCTTCTGACAATTCAACATGAGAAGAATATATAAAGACAATGTTTACTGCAATAACAATTTTGCTCAGCCTTCACCATAATAATCTTACAGCATTTCAATGACAACAAACTATAACACATATAAAGAGAGAAACTATTCACCTGGCATTCCAGGAGATTTCAATCTTTTCCCCGTATCAGGGTCAACTGTGTGGCTGTAGGCGATGGTCACATCATAAACTGCATCTATATGATCCCACAAATGTTCAAGACTAATTTTAAAGCCTCTCATTCGTGGTGCAAGTACATATTCATAATCATGGAGACCTGAAAGAAAGAAAAAAAAAAAAAAAAGAAGTAAAGACTGAATTTAAATTGAAGAACATGGATTTCACTATTTCATGATAATTATTATTTACACAAATTTCCTCTGCTTCTGTCAAAATGTTTATTTGCAATGACACAAGAAATATTTCAGTCAGATGTCTTGCCTGATGCAAACTTTTCAAAGTTATAGCTACTTGGTCTAGTGACATACAGATAGAGATGACTATCTGGTCAACCCTGAAACAATGAAAAATAAATATTTATATATATATATATATTATATACACACACACACAGCAGGAATCAAATTGCCAAGAGATACCATCTATGAACAAAAAATTATTTTTGTCTTTTTTTTTTCATGAAGCATCAGAAGAACTTCAATACAGAAAAGCTTTTCTGTACAACTGAAGAAGACCAGAGGATAGAACAGCCAAAACAATAAATTCAATAAATCAGGGGTGGGCAATCCTTGGTACGTGTGCCAAACATAGCACGCCAATGACTTGTTTCTGGCATGCAAAACTTATTCATTAGATTCCCTTTCTGACTTTTATTCTTTCTCCTCTTTTATATATATCATTATCTCATGTAGTTTTATTTTCTGCCCATTTACAGATTGGGAAGAATGTCATGATCATCAGTTAAGAAATGATGTCATTCAAATGAAAAAGATATTAGAGAATTTAAAGAATACTGGACTGAAAAATTTGACCTGATTAAGAAAGACAATAAAGTCTTATGCATTTTCTGTTCCAAAAACAATCATTTGTAGGACTTCTGTAAAGAGACATTTTGAAAATGTTCATAAGAATTTAAGTAATAAAACTGAGGAGGAAAAAAGAGAATTAATTTCTCATGAACTGAGCAAAACAAAAAAAAAAAAAAAAACCAAACAAAAGCTGATACTTTTATGATCTTTATTTCAGGTAGGCCCGGTTCCAACTTAGTTGATCCTAGTTTTGAGGTTTCAAAAGTTATTTTCCTACATGGAAAGCTACTCAGTGATTAGGGTTATATTAAAGATGCTTGGCTATAATGTGCATCTTTCCTTTTTGACAATTTTTCAGAAAAGGAAAAGATTATTCAGCACATTAAAGATTTGTCTGTGAATAGGAAAATGGATAAGATACTTAAGTTGGAAAGGAATACAGCTGAACAAGTGACAAAAGATTTGTCTTCATGTAAGTTTTTTCACTATTTGTGTTGATGAAAGTACGGACATTACATCATCAGGTAGGCTAGCCATGTTTTCTCGATTTTGTAGTATGTGAAGAGATGCTTACACTTGTAACACTACCTGAGAATACTTCTGGAGCTGAAATATGTAAAGTAATTGTGAACATTTCAAAAGTAGTATCTGCCACAACAGATGGCATCCCCTGCATAACTGGTGAGAAGGCAGGATTTGTAAATCTGTTTGCAAAAGATGTCAGTCATCCACTGATAGGTTTTCATTACATCATACTTCAGCAATTGATGCAAACAGTTAACAAGATTTTTAATTACATTGCCTGGTGTTTAAAAAAAAGACAATTTCAAATTTTACTGTATGGAGTAGAATATGTATATAACGGACTGAAAATGTACAGCAATGTTCATTGACTTAGCCAAGGTTTGGTTTTAAAACAATTTGTTGAATGCTTAGATGAGATAACGTTTTTTTTGACTGACCAACATGTATCTTACCAAGAATTGCCTGACGTAAAGTGATGTTTTTTGCAGATTTTTGTGAACATTTAAATGACTTGAATATTAAATTACAAGGATCTAGTAAGACACTTGATATTATGTTTGGTTATATAAAGACTTCAAATGAAACTAAGTTTTTGGATGTAGATAATGAGAGATTTAGATATTTCCCAAACTTAAAGAGCTATATCAAGGATCTCCCAAAAGGTGACAGAACAAGCTGACAATGTCTTCAAAAGTTGTTTGTAAACATCATCGAATCAACTGTTGAGCCATTCTTTACAAGATTTGATAAATTCAAGGAACTAGAAGAGACAGCAAAATTCATTAAGTTTCCAGACAGTATCAAATGTTTTAATGGAGAGACATGGATGATTATGAAATGCAGTTGATAGAATTTCAGAGTAGCTCAATTTAGAAGCAGTAATTTGTTGAACTTAGAGTTGACTTGGAAAATAAATAAAGGAGCAATTAGAGATGGGAGTATCAGAGAGGAATGTGGTAATTAAAGTATTAAGGACTTGGAATACCATTCTAGAAAATGCTCTGTTTAAAAACATGCAGCAGCATTATTATCCATGTTTTCATCTACATATGCTTGTGAATCTTTGTTCACAGTGTTGAACTTTGTTAAGTATTGTAACAGGAGTAACCTGATAGATGAAACTAGTAGTGCATACATATCTCTCAAGGTTACTAAATATAAAGCCAATATAAAATCTCTGTCATCAATGATAATATATGAAAAGCAACAACAATTTCTATTTACATTATTTACAGTGTTTGGACTGTTGTCCCCATCTTCATTGCCATGTCCATGTTTCAGCTATTGTATGTTCCAGCCTTCTTCAGGTGATTGGAATTTTATTTTGTCTACCAGGGTAGTTTGTTCTAGTTCCATGTGTCATGCCTCTTCTAAATGTCTCAATTATCTCCCTTTAACTCAGAGAGTTGAGTTAAGTTTTTGTTCACCACTGCTTTAGCCAGGTATTGAACTCAACTATTTGGGTGAAGTCACTGGATCCAACAAACACTTTTATCCACTGGTCCATCAGTGTATGAATTTTTGGTACTTGTAAACTTAATATCTCCGTAACCATTTTAAACCAGAACTCATTGAAATTTTGCTGTTATTATTAGAATTGCTTTTCTCTATCATTCCATATTACTGTTTCCCATATTGTATTCATTTCTATACTTGGCTGGCTTAGATTTTTGTGGCCTAGAATATGTGGTGATTCCTTAAGTTTTCGTATTTTCCACTGATGTTTCCTATCTATTATTTCAACCTCATTCCACAGGGTGAGGTGAGCTTCCTTTTCCCTCCATAAGTGGTCAGCTACACCTGATTTTTTTCTATTTCTCCCCATGTTATGGCTTTACGATGTTCTTGCAGTCTTACCTCAAGGGGGCAACTGGTTTCTCATTTATATTTCTTACCACAATTGCATGGGATGGCATACACACAGTCCTTAATCATGTTTTCCTCTATGAGGGGGTCTTACTCAGAAGGTGTGTCTGCAAAGTGTCAAACCACTTTTGAAGGTTGTCCTGATGTTATAGGGACCACAGATCTTTTGTATTTTCTCCAATAATCCCTTCACACAGAAAACAGCTTTGGTCTGCCTACCCTGAGTGTTATCCTCTTGTATCCTTCTATCCCAGTTTGTCAGAGCTACTGCCATATACCCAGAGTAGTTGTTATGTTGTAGAGTACTGCTTTTACTGACCATTTCTTGTTCATATGCCATTTAAAGAACTAATAGGGGTAAGGTCTGTTAGAGTTGTTTGTTCATTAATTTGAAGGACTTTTTTGTGGCCTAACATCATCCAGTACAGTACAAAATTATTGTAAATAAATGTAAATACAACTTATATATATATGTGTGTGTGTTTTATTTTTAAGTTACTATATACCCTTAAATAAAGTTTGAAACGTTTTAAAATTAAATCCAGAGTCTGTTGATTCCAGGACTGTTAATTTGAGGTTTTACTGTATGTATAATACGTACATTCAAATGCAAATCAAATGACACATAGAAAGGGAAAGAAGCAACAAACACAGCCCCAGTGACAGTGGGGTCTTCTTTACCTCGTTCTTTTGCAAATTGTTTACTTTTCTGAATAATTTCTGGTCTGTTGGGATTGAAACGAGTTCCTTCTGGAAAGACTACCATCCACACCTGACAAAACAAACAAAAAGAGTTAAACATTTCTAACAAAAACTACATAAAACAATTTCACTTCACAAATAACCATTTCTAAAATATATTTTTCTTTGTCTGCACAAAAAAAAAAAAAATTAATGTTTACATAAAATACAATTTTAATATCATACATACTTGTGTATAATGAAAGTCTTTATGGACAGTTTTTTTTATGCAAATATAGAGGTTCACACTATACACAGGTGATTTTTTTTCAAGGTTAAAAAAAATCATGCATTTTTGGTGGCCAGTTGCACTATACACAGGTAAATCTTTTCTGGGTGGGAGGATTCATGCAAAAGTACTCAAAGGTTGCACTATACTTGAAGTCGACTTATACATTAATATATATGGTAAAAGAGAATTTTTTTTTTTTTAAAATCTCCTTGATTTGATGTTCCAATAACAGCTATTTTTCTGTTCAACTGAAGCAGATTCAGTTGGAAGTCAGTCACAGAATATTTAATTTGAAATAACTGATGCAATATACTGTACTTTCAGGAAAAATAAAAAATTGCAAATTTGACTATAATTGAATCATAAATTTTGAGCGAGCAAGAGAAAACATCTTCATTGTAAATACAGATTTTAAACATTTTTATAGAAAGTAGAATTTTAATATTGATTATTTCTTTTTATTGGGGAATTGAACATCAAACCTTGTAGCATTTGAAAGACATCAGGTTTACCCCTGCACTAACAACATGGGATGTTTGTAAAGAATTGTGGCACCTTGCATTATTAGAAATATTCATAGAAATATGATTTAATTTTTTCTTACTCGGTTTACTAAACAGGTTGTTGATTTTTTTTTAAAACGGAAAATAATTGAGTTGAAAATAATTCACTAAGATTGTACTTGGACGATCCTAAGGGAAGAAGAAGGAAGGGGAAAGAGAGAGGTCGAGAAATACAAAAAGGGTCATTAACAAAAAAACACGAGTCAGAAAGATATCTTAGCTAGCATGTTGACCGAATTTTTTAAAGACAATTGGAAGAATAGAATTAGAAATAATAAAAAAGAAAAAAAGGGAAAAGACATGATATCAAAACGGGCCGCTTGATGAAAACCAGATATCGGGTCAAAACATCTGACCTACTTTTAGTTAGAAAGACCCATTATCAATTTGGAGTAAGGGAAATTTTAAGAGCGAAATCTTAATCAGAGAAAAGGTGTTTTTTTGGGTTGAGGGGAGTGACCGGTGGAACTATATACAGATCCTGACCTATTAAGAATTAGAAACCTACGATAATAAAGTGGAACATTTTCAATGTAGATAATTAAGATTTTCTGACTGCGGGTCTGACAAAAACAAGAGGTGAAAAAACGATTGTCTCAGATCACAGATGGCGACAATATTCTTTCCTGAAGTCACAACTAATTAGCGGCGGGCTGGTTGACAGAGCCCAGGTGAGAGAAAGCCAAGATTGTCATTTTTCAGATGCGTGCAGAAAAAGGCAAAATTGATTTTTGTTTTTTAAAAACAAAACGATGTAACCACGCCGAAAGGAGGAGAAAGGATGCTCGATCAATAACAATTGGTCGGAAACGGTCACGGATCTGCAGAAAAGAAGAGAAAGAAATGCCCGATCAGGAACCATTGGTCGGTGCAAACGGTCACCTGACATACGAGAGACTAAGAGAGATGGTGTGCACCTCCCCACAAAGGGCACTGTGAGGAAGTAGGGGTGAAAACAATAATATAATGGGAAATCAAAAATAATGCGACTTTTGAGTTATCGAGAAAACCCTGACAATCGACAGACCCACCCCAGTTTGTTGCGGGCGCCAATAAAAGCAGGACCCCAGTCGACAGAAATCAGTTGGAGTTGGAGGGAGTTGCAGCTGAACCGCGGCAGGGAAAGAGCCTGAACGCGGGGCATCAGGCCCCATTCACTGGCCTTTGCGGGCAAAAGAATCTCAGACAAGAAATCCTTCCAGCCCAAGTCGAAGACATGAGTTCAGCCCCGGACGGCAGCAGCGAAGAGATCACCTCGACGACAGAGAGTTGCGGCTGAGTTGGCGGCAAGAGATCCTTCCAGCCCAAGTCGAAGACAAGAGAACTTCCAGCCTAAGTCGACGAAGAAGAAGAAAAACAACTCAAGTCGAAGAGAAGAATCAACTGCGAATGATCGATAGAAATTAGCCCCAGTGTCGAACCAAACCACACTCGACATACACAATTCTAAAGAGTAGGCAATTAAAATCTTTAGGTTGTGTGATAGAAGCTTGGTGCCATAGTCCACAAGCGGGTCGGGAAATGAGAACAATTTTGTTTTTTTATGTAGCGGACATTAAGATATAAAGGGTTGTTACCCATTTTTTTCATCAGCAATCTTTTGTCTCGTGAGTTTATTTTCTCTTTTATTTGTGTTTTGCCACCCCGTCGGACTCAACTTGTATCGGCCCCAATCCCTGCTGGTCCCGTCTGTCTAAGATCTAAACACAGCGTGGGTAGACAGACCGGAGATCGGGTACAGTTGCTTTAGTGACCAGGTATTGAAGCGAGTCGGGAAAGGCGAGGCTGGTGATCATCTGACCAAGGGGTTGGAGCGCACGCTTGGACCCAGGAGGAGCGACCAGGAGGAGCGACGTCACCGTTGGCGCCGTAACCAAAGGATCCGACCCTGGGCCAGGTGTGCAACTGTCACAAATGATTACAAGATGTTTGGATTTATTATCAGATGAAATATTGTCAATTATTAGTAACTAGTGTAAACAAATGATGGAATTACTTATGTATGAATAAATAATGCAAATATAGATATTTTAGTAAATGCATTTATTGCAATAAATATTTGAGGACAACTTTCTTTGTAAAGGCGATTCCATGAAGTTAGCCTAAATTTTGAAATTTATTATTTTTAATCCAAATTTTTTCAAAATTAACAGGAATTACTTGTAATTCTCAATTTACTGAGGTCTACTTTAAGTTTACACAAATAATATTAGCTGTCATATTAAATAAAATGTAACAAAAATTCATAGGATGTTAAAATGACTTTAAAACTTCAATACTATTAATATATGATAAAATATAGTTTTAAAGTATGTTATATTCATGGGTTAAATTGCTCAATATCAGGGAAAGTATGTATGAAAATATATAAAAGTGGACATTGAGGTCAACACACAGAGGAGACAGTCTGTTTCATGCTAAACATAATTGTCAAGCCATATATAACAGTTGGACACTCATATTCAAAGATACCCATCTACCAGGGTGGCTAGCCAATCCCTATTGCAGATGCTTGCTCAGGTGCATTTGTGTTTATTCAACACCCACAGAGCCCACCTGTGGTTTATACTGCAACTATGCTGAGCAGACCTTAGTTACAGTCTCTGAGAGAGAGCATGTTATCTAGTAATATAAACAATTTGAACAAGGTCATCATGCTCAAGCCCTAAGACATGATGACTTGTGTATGTGTATTAGTGACTCACTGAAATAATTAATAAAAAAAATTAAAAACCAACCCTAAGTTATTATTCCAAATTTTACCTGTATATTTCAGCAGCAGAGTACTGGCATATTGGTATGAAAGAAATCAAAGAAAGGTTGACTTAATCTTAGACATCTTCTTGCAAATTTGCATGTAAGCAATAGTAAAATGCTTTTTTTTTTTTTTTTTTTTTTTTTTTTAAACTCAAACAGGAAGCTTGACACATAAATTTTTTTAGGTTAATGTTAAACAAAAATGATTTCTTTTAATGTCCAACTTTACAGTCTGGATGAAAAGAGATCATTTCTTTACATCCATTTTTGGAGTTCCGCAAAAAAAAAAAAAAAAAGAAACCCTGATCAATTTTTTTAATCTCCATTTCTGAATGGTGAAATCAGCAGAAGAGAGCTTATTAAAAACAGTGTGTGCAGATAAAGATAAAATTAATCCTTTGTCTCCCAATTTTCTGTTCAGTGAAAGTAGTAATCAGCAGTCAGTTGAGAGAATGAGGCTCGCTGGCCCCTGTACAACAGGGGGGTGGGGGGTTAAATAATTGTCAGTTAGATAAAGAAATTCTTGGTGTTCTAGTAGCTTCCAAAGTATATTCAAAGGAAAGTTCAATTCCAACGTGATTGAAGAGTTTCTTTTTTCTTTTATCATTTCATCCCAAGCAAGGCAATAAAGCCGCTAAAACTCAAGGAGTTACTGAGTGTGAAAGAATATGAGAAAAACAAAAAAAACATTAATGAGAGCAGTAGCAGATCAACTATGAAACTAATGAAGCTTAAGCTTCAGGGCCCCTTATTCCTGAGGACACCTTGAAGCAACTTTTTTTAATGAATGAATTTAAAAAAAAAAAAATTGATATATTTTTTTGTTTGTTCTTAAAACGAGGCTATTTTAGTGATAAAATCATAAACCAATAGATTGAAGTAGCTAATGTTGGTCTAAGAATTTGCTCTAATACCCATTTCATATGGCCTCAAAATTTCCCTGTAATTGGTCAAATTTCAAAATTTTCTTGGAGACTTGCATTGCCTGAACACCCCAGCATTATGAGCTCACCAGAATCTATTCATAACCTACATTTTAGAAGTTGGACCCTGGAAATTGATTGCAAAGGAGACCCCCCCCACCATATATGTTCAAGCTTCAGGGACAAAAAAGTGTGGGTTCACCACTGAACAAGAGAAAACAACAAAGGAACAGTCATTAAGAAGACAAAAAATAACAATTGACATTGCATTTAAATTTTTGAAGATGAAAGTTAACCAAAGCAAGAGGCCAGAACACAGTATGTCCAGAACAGCAATATTTGGTAATTTGAGAATAATTTGAGAAATATTTATGGTATATTGTATGAGAACTCATTAGCAGAATATGGGCAACATGAATTCAGTGAAATCAAGAAAGTCAAATTTTTTTATATTTTGGTGGGTCTGAGATTGGATTTCCATATTTGGGCGTAATGGTCCCAAAACACAAAAATTGCTCTAATTTCAGTTTGGTTGATGATAGAAAAGCCATCAACA